ACTTGCATATATAGAGACACACATAGGTATATACACAGGCAAACACAGGAACTGTAATCACCATTCCCTTTTACATGCAAATGCAGCTTGGCATTCAAAATGAGAGAGAACCAAGTCCCAAATACGCGTCATTTGTACTAAAGTAAATCCAGCATAACACACACAAATCAGGACATTGCCGGGCAGATGAACCCAGTCAGACTGTCTGCTTTTATCTGATACCATTTCAGAAACGTTAACCATTTGCTCCTGTTCTGCTGCTCACTCATGTAAGAAGAGCTCCTTCACTGAAGTTCCTTCTCTGGTCTAAATTTACGGTTACTTTTAAACAAACCTTTAACAACGTAACAAAAACACAGCACCCCTTTGCTTGCGTTCAAGACTGCAAATTAGTGAAAGAGACTCTCAGCTGCTGGGAACCAGCCCAGCAGCTCTTGCAGAGCCCTGCCAGCGCTGGGGCCGTGCGCACTCGCAGCAGCTGCTGCCACCACCCCGGGCAGCCACACCGCTTCCGACAGCTCCCTCAGGCAGCATGTTAGCTGCGCTGGGAACATCGTTTCCTCCTGGGCAAACTGAGTAAGGCGCTGGCAGTTAAAACATATGCCACAAAAAAAAAAAAAAAAAGCTGTTTTCCCACCAGCGTTTTAGTGTGATTTTAGCATCTGCAAACACTTGATTAAAAGTAATGAGCTCTTCCCACAAGAAGACAGTTGGTAGCCAACACTTTTGAAGCATCAGGTGTCTTCTACCTCGTATTTCTCCATATAATTTTGAGGATGTGAACAATTTGAAATGCACTTTTTGAAGCAAGGACAGAAGAAAAATAAACATCTTTCATTTCACTGTCAACTGGCACACACACGAGCCCTGCGCAGAAGCGGAGGGATACAGTGGGTCCTTCCTAACTGCGACGGGCACTGCAACCCCGAAGGGTGACGTGGTGGGTCTGGAGCGCTCTTCAGCCTTAACGCCCCCCCTTGACAGCACTGGCCACAAACCCTTCCTACCTTTGGCTACTTTTCCTACAAAGAGCTTCCGGATTTTCTCTTTCAAGTGAATCTCGGCAGATGCCAAGAACAGACCCACGGATTTATGAAACACCAGCCGCTGTAATGCCCACAGCGCTATGTGGGTTGCAAACACTCCCCTTCTCATGCGGTGGCACCAGCGCGAGGGCAGGTACCCCGCAGCGCGTGGTACTCACCCCATCCTTCGCCTCTATGCCGGTGGCAGCAGCAACCTCAGCCCTTCCTCCAGCGATCTCCTGTAGCAGAGCAGCACCCAGGTGACCAGTGTCCTTCACCTGGAGATGAACAACAGGCCAACACACAGCCTAATTCTTCTCAAGAGACAGCTAGGACGTTCCCACCAGGCCCACAGCTGCAGGCCCCACGTGAGCCATCCCAGCTGGTGCCACTTCTCACAGCGGCGCTTGCTGGTGCAACGGCCGGGGTAGCTCTCCTGCTGCACGGGGCCTCTGCGAGTTAAAACACCGAGAACTGCAGCTAGGGTGCAGTTTCCCGAGGCTTTGTGTCCCCTCACAGCTCTTCAAGTGCTCATGTAAAGAGTAAAAGAGGCTGAAAACCTGAAACCTATTTTATTGCTTGCTCCTGTGTACGTTCCCCAACCAATTAACATTTGGCTGAAAAATCTTACGACTGCCTTCCCCCTTTTGCAATTCCAGCCTGGGAAGGCGACGGTTCCTACGCGCTTGATGATCTGTTCAAGCAGCGCAGTGGCACCCGTTACGGAGAACTGTGCCTCACAGCCTGACATGTACCCCTTCAAACCAGCCCACGTGGCTGGAAGAAGGACTCTCACCCCCATTTTCCAGACGGAGAAACGAGTCACAGTGAGGGAATAAGTAGTATAATCTAAATGCTTGGTGTGACTGGAGAAAAACTCTGGTGTGCAATGGGTTAGACTAAGCGTTCATAAAGGTCCCCCCTAGAGAACAAACTAATGCCCTTTAAAGAAATTCTGTTTGCTGGACAACTAATTAAAAGTATTTCTCGAATGACCATACAGGCCCAGTTGTTTGGGTTTTTTCCTTAACTATTGCTCTGAACTTCTACCAGGGCAGCTGGAAACACCTGCCTTTTCATTGCATGAATTAGACCTTTGGTCACTCAGGAATGGCCATAAAAGGGGCCAAAGGTGTGCTACCGTAACAAGCAGAATAAAGTCTCAGAACTTAAAAAAGCACATGTCAAGTGGGTACATTTAAAAAATGTGATCCTGGCACAAAGCCTGGGTCTCCCTGACGTCCGGGGGCAGCTCTGCCATGTTCTTCAGCGCCACCAACACTTCACAGGTAGGTTGCAGAGGGACAAATCAAGTGAAACTACTCTTTAGTAAGACAAATACTTCCAAAACTAAGAGGACATCACGCGATTGTGGATGCACACCCTCGAAGCTGGTCTTTTGTTCCAGTGTCCGCTGATACATCCTGTCTAGGGTTTCACCAGAACGCTCTGCTGCTTGCAAGTGCCAATACCCATGTGTTCTGCTGAGTCCAAAGCTGGCGGTAGCGAAACCAAAGTTCAATATGTAACAGCGCTTTTATATGAATTCCTTGCTGTCCTTCAACAACGTTGCTATAAAAGCACTGTTTTTTTTTTGTTTTGAACATCTTAGCTTTCTTACTGCTTTAAAACTTCACATATGACTTCATACTGCACTATATAAGCTGGTCTAGTATGCTGAAAATCATCCATCCTTAATCAGAGCCACAGTCAGCAGCTTTACAAATGACTTTTCATTCCTTCATAAACGATCCTCTTCTAATATTGGAAAAACACAAGTAACTCGTTGAATTCACTCTGCTGATTTGCCACTTTATTCTGAACAGGATATGAATACTTCTACCACCTGGGCACTGAAAATTCATCAGCCATGTTGAATATTTTTATCCAAGAATGAGAAACCTGAACTTAGTTTATACATGCCTGGTAGATTAAAAAGTGCATTCATATTCATGCCTGATGTCTTTAGTACATATTTATATTACAACAGTTCCCAGTTAGTATTGTGCATCTGTTTATTTGGCTCATATAGGTAAGCAATCCAAAACAGATTATAATCTCAATAAACACGCCAAATGAAGAGTGGATAAATGGGTGTTCGCATGCGTAACTTGGACAAGTAACTTACCCAAAGCCACATCATGGATCAATAGCACAACCAGGCACAGAGCCCAGAATATACATATTCAAGTGCATACTGGACATGGTCCCTACATATATTTCTAAAATGACTGTTTATTTTAATGAGATGCAGTAAAATATTTCCTCAAAAAAAAAAAAAGTTTCACGTTCTTAGTTCTAGTGCTTCATTTACCAGTGTCACACATGCATGAGTTACACAAACATAGATGGGGCCAGGAAAGCTTACTTCCATTTGTACTGTCAAGACAGCTTGATTTGTTTCTTCTCTAATGAACTTGGGAGAGCCTGTAAGAAGGAAAAGTACTAGCAAATATGAACATAACTTTATGAACAAAAGAAAAATTAGGAGTTGCAAGAAATAACGTTGGTCCTTCAGTCAGAGGTACTCCTTCTGAGTTTGCATCGGATGAATGCTGCAGTAGAATTTTAACTGTCGCATTACCACAGGATTTTCTGTTTCGAAATAGGTGTAAGGCATTCATGACTATTGCACCCACTGACATAAAACACTATAGGACCACCACACTCCAGCATATCCAGAAAACCTATGGACGTTGCTGGAATCTACAGTACCTACCTACAGCTATAGGTACTTTACATGGGAGACGTTCAGTTAGCAATGACTGGCCGAATAACCTGAAGAAAGTCATCTACATCCAGAAAAATAGATATGCTTAGGTTGACATGGATATACTTTATCTCTGGTAACCACTTCTTCCATCATTTTTTTTAAATTTATTCTAGCTTTTAATACTATAATAACAGTTTGGGAAAGGGGGCAGGAATTTTAGTTTTATTTTGATTTAACTGGATATAGGAATTGTCACTTTCCTTCCTGAATTGTCAGCTACTTGCTGCTGTTGGACAGCTTCGTAGTTCATTCCAGCAGTTGGCGTATTGAGATTGCTACATAAAAATAAGTAAATCACTCTGAGACTCCGCAAAAGGAAAGACAGTCATTTAAACAAAGTAGGTATGAGACTGTATCATTTTAACTTTTTCCATGATGCACCAATTACTATTAAAAATACAACTTAGTTTGTGAGTTCCTAGAGGAGTATCTACTGTTGCATGGAGGCAATTCCAAAGGATTAGGATCCGCTAACATAGCCCTCATCTTCACCACAAGAAGAAAAAGTAGTATCAGTCATTTAGGAAGGCATCAAGCAGCATGCAGAACTAGCAGTTTTAACTGTAATGAAGCACAAAAATCCCAGTAGTAGATCGAGGCCCCTTAAACGCACCTTTTGCAAACACATACAGAGAGAAGCACTTCCCCAGGGAATGTATAATATAAGTACAGGAGCAGAGATCAAACAAGAGTTGCGCGAGCGGAAGAGCTGAAGGAGACTGTGGGCAACATGGACAAGACATCACAGCTTCATTCAGCTTGAGCCCTAGCTCTTCCATACCGCTTACAGACCCTCGGGGGGTTAATGCAGTCAACTTTCAGCTCCTCCAAAGAGACAAAACTACGGAAGTGAATGTCTGCTTGTGGATATTTTAAACAAAAAGGAAAACATATGGCCCTCTGGAGCTATGCTTGCTGCTGCTGCAGCTGGTATGTCACAGAGAACAGAGGGCCTAGGGCTGGAACTAAATGTAAAAGCTTTACTCCAGGAGCAACTAGAGAACAAACTGGGGAAAATGTTTCAATTTTAAAAGCAATCAGATTAACAAACCAGGAAATACAAAGAGTTGAGACCACTCATGTACAGTTACCATAAAGAAATAAAAATAGGCACAAAATATTTTACCTGTAGTAAACAACAGCTTCTTACCTGTGTGAGGGATATTTTTGCAAACTATGAAAGAAAACCCGGAACAAATGACTAAAATCGGCATTTTATTTCCCAGATGTTATTTTGAGATTCTACACATAGAACAGTAACAAAAATTAAAACAGCAGAAGAGCTTTAGTTCAGAAAACTGCAAAGGCAGAAGATCAGTAATTTCATTTCATAAAACTAGAATTTCTATTAAAAGCCTACATGGATTAAAACCACAGGTGCAACAAACCAAATAAGCTGCTGCTGATAGCCGTAATGTGCACCTTTAAGTTCATGTCTTGAGACATGATGGTAAATGTTTCACAGTAACAACTCATTCGGTAGGCTGGGCCCCAATTCAGAGCCAGTGTGTGCAGATGCAATCCCACTGACTGCGGAAATGGAGGAGGAGGAGGAGGAGGAGTGCCCGTGGCCTGCAGGGGCCTGTACTCCCCAGAGATAGCAAGGCCAGAAGAGATCATAAGAAGTCATCTAGTTCACCTCTGCCAGAGGATGAGCTGTGCCTTAAACATCGCCAATGTTTAAAGTCATCTTTGTTTAACTTTTTCTTAAAAACTTGCGTAAATGATTTTATAATGTTCTCCGGAAATGTATTGCAGGGCTTTGCAAAGTTACCATCAGGATTTTTTTCCTCTAATGTCTAAGCTAAAGGTAGCCAACTACTTGTCTTATGAACAGCGAATATGGAGAACAGGACTTGAGGGGTTTTTGTTTTACTCTCTCCTCTGCAATAACTTTTTACAAATGTGAATACTCCTTTGGTCTTCACTCTTGCAGACTAAACAAACCAAACTCTTCCATTTTTCACACACAAAATCATGTTGTCTGTCCCTCTCGTCTTTCTTGTCTCTCTCCGCTGGCCTCTTTCCAATTCGCCTGCAGCCTTCTTGGAAGTGTGGTGCCCAAAACTGGATACAGTATTCCAGCCCAGACCTAATTAGAGCTTATTAGGCCTAATTAGAGTAAAAGGTTATTCCACGTGCACTCTTATTTATTCACTCTAGTATGTAATTTGCTTTCTCACAAAAACATGACATTATTGACCCATGGTTAGCTTGCTGTTCACTGGAATCTGCAGGTCCTTTTTCACAGAATTACAAAACCTACTGTGTTATCCTCCATCCTCTATCTGCTATTACTTGAATGTAATACTTACTAATTGCCCTTAATGAAGTGATACCTACTTACCTCACAATTTCTCCAATTAATTTAAATAATTTATAGTTCTAATCCTTTCCTCCAAAACACTTTCATCAGTAATTTTTGTTTGTAAATGAAGAATCTATTGCATAATTCAATACAATTTATAAAGAATACCAAACAGCATTAAACAGATCTAGGTAAAACCCTACTTGTTGCATCCTCCTAGGTGACAGTGAATTACTAACAACAACCCTAACAGCACAAATCACTGGGGTAGATCAATTCAGATGATGCTTATCTACTTTGACTACCACAATGTCAAAAGCAGCCTTTACCCAAAGCCCCTTACCAAAATCGAGACATGTCACCTTTGCAGCTGCTCCTCCATTCACAAGCCATTTATTCTTTCAGAGAAGGAATTACTTGATATCATTTATTCAGTCTGATATTTCCCCTTTTTCCTGAAATTTTGTGTGAAAAAGAACTCTGGGATTGAAAAATGGGTATATTAAATATTCTCCCTCAGAAAGAACACTGAAAACTATTAAAATGCTTACTGCAATTTGTGGAGAACTTCTGCAGAATGAAAGACATGAAGATGACAGTGAAAATTCAGAACCAGTGTTTTGAACTTTCAGATTTTGGTCAGAAATATCCCATGGTAATGCTAGCATTTCTAAAAACTTATTTTTAAAAAACTTATTTGGAAAATGGACAGCCCTTTTTTTAATGAAGAGCTTGCAAAATCCCTGCACTTCAGGAGGACTCATGGATTTAGGCTGAATTCAAATATAACTCTACACATTTGTCTTCTTCCACTACTCTGCACCTATTGCCTTTTGTTGTCAGTTGCCAAAGCTCACTTACTATGAGATGCTTCAGTCATATGTACACGCATTCCTCCACATCTGCCCAACTTTTCTAGATCTTTATTCAGGTCACTGTAGTTCCTAGTAAGTTTATGTCACTGCCCCCTTCAGTCCGAAATTAAAGGCCCAGTCATTAGTTTAATACACTGGTGCCGTTAAGAGTTCTCCATGCCTTAGCCATAAATTGGTCCACTTTTATCTTACACATCAAACAAGTAGAAGGATTGTGCAGCTGTACCTATCCAACTTTATTCGCTTCATTTCCTTTAACAGGAATGCTTACTTCTGGATACACTCTTTACCTCTAGATTAAGACCCTGATTTAAAAGCCAATGAAAACTTGCCTTTCTTTTTCTACAGACTTTGGTGAATTCTAGATCAGTCCGTTAGTGAAGAAAATTCTCTCCCTGCCTATTATGTTTTATTGAAAACATCGCTGCCCTATACACTCAGGCAAAAGTAGTAGGTCTTTAACCATTCTACTTTTATGTCAAATTATGTTATACAGCAGATATAAAAGGTTAAAGATAGTCACATGCTGGAGAAAGTCCTCAGAAGACGCAATAGCACCACCACAGCAGGCAATTGTTCAAAGCAAAACAGCCAGGATTCACAAACTTGACGGAGGTCTCATAAAAAATCCAATGAAAATCACAGCTATAACAGATTTGGCCAAAACACTTAACATCATTGGTCTGATTTTTAATATTTAACTTGTTGAGGTTACAAATAACGTAAAATATAACTTCAGTACTTAATTTATAAAGTTTTCATATTTCCATGTAAAACCAACAGCAGATTTAAAGTAAAAAGAGCTTTGCGGAGGCAACAGCTTCTTCTTTAACTTCAATGAGATTCTTATTTTTTAAATGTATAAACAAAACATTCATGATTTCCCTTTGCATACATCTCGGCAGATCAGTTGATACAAACATAATTTACTGTAGAAACCAAAAGTATAATTTTTTTTTTTTTTGCTACATGCAGTTCTATGCTGGCATCACATTTTAGTTGGTTAATATCTCAAATAGCAAGATTTATGCAATTTGCACTCCAACCCCCACTATGTCCATTGCCAGCAGCGGACTTCATGTTCAGAGAATCGAACTCACAGTGTCAACAATCTAAAATTAAACTTAAGATTTATAAATATTCAAAGAAATTAATATATCACTTTCATATCATAATATGCAGACAGTTAAAGGCCATGATCCAAACTCACTGAAACCAATGACAGGTTTCCCACCGGCTTAGCGGAAAATCTACCTGCAGTCCCCAGCGTCTACAGATTCTCATTTTGATTCTGCAATTTTATCACAGCATGAAGAGTTAAAAGTGCGTAGTATCACAGCTTCAGTGTGAGAAGTAGAGCCTCTAAGTCTTTCTGGGCCTCTTTATCCTGAAAGAGACAATCATACACAAACTTAGATAGGATAAATCCTTTGATTTGCCTAATACGTGCCTATCCGCGTTTCTTCACTAACAACAGACATAACAGACAACTGTAATAGCCACACAATGTACAAGACCTCATAGTAATTGCAAAAATAAAATACGAAGTGAAAACAAGAGCCAGATGGCAGCCCTCTTTATACAGCTCTGTTAAAGCACTTAAAACGTTGGGCACAAAGAGCCTTCTCAGCAGAGCAGTAAGCCTTTCGGCTTAGGCCATAACTTTTATTGGTGTACTCTGCATAAGGTACTGCCTAGCTTTGTGTTTTACATAAGCTCGCAACCCAACTGTGAGCAGTTTTTCTAAGGATATTTTCTGTGATGCTTCCTAATAATTTATTATCCAACGAACAAGAAAATACGGGAATGTGTTTCCTACAAATTTATTATCCAATTAATATGAAAACATTGGGAAATGTGATTAATGCCACAGGTGAGACTGTATTTTCAGGCTATATGGCCAGACCTACCTATAACATCCCACTACGGAATGACTACATTCTCGGTATCTTCCATACTGGAGTACGGGGGCCCTGTCTATGCTACCAGGCTCACAGCCAAGTGGAGCCAGTTTGAGAGCAAGAGGCAAGCGATCTGCTATGGTCAGAGCCAATACTATATATCACCTAGGGGAAAAGGGAAAGACTCCTTTCAGGCTGATGTGTAAGCGCACAGTTTGCACAGAACTACTCCTCAAAACAAAGCCTAGCCCGGAGAACTCTTCCAACGGTACCAACAACATATATCCTACCTACTTCATATAAACTGTTAGGAAAGGGGTACACGTGTACGAGCATGTCACAGCAGTACAAAACCTCTTACTTGTGTACGTATTTTTATAATGTCTCCTGGATATAATCCACTCACTTCACTTGCTGCTGCAAAACGTCTAGCCTGTAAAACGGACCTTAGCTGGAAACAACATGTCTAAAAAGTCAGCGCCGCACACCTGCAGACTGGTAAGGGTCCAAGCAACCAGTATTTGCACCCACATGTATTTAATGGTACAAAGGCACATGCACATCACAAATTTTGTGCAAGTATTTCTAATGACAGAGACTAGTATTTCTTTCCCAGACAAAATAACAGCCAATTCTGAAAGAAAATACTGCAGACAGACAGGGAAGTAACCACTGAATTTCAAGATCACTTCATTATCCAATCAACCAAAGAGCTGGAACAAAATACAGAACATTTTAAAATACATTTTACGGGTGAAGAAATTCCTGCTTCTCTTTATTTTGGTTAGTTGTCTATAATGTCATGGAGGACTAGAGTAGACTATTGGGATGATAGAAACCATATGCCAAATATGTCAAACTACATTATATTATTGCTCTGCATTAAGGCATTAATACATTAGCTGGACACTTCTCTTGGAGTCACTGCCTTGCTCCCACTGGCAACAATAGGCTAAACTATCTGCCTAATCATTTATCAGAGGCCTTTAAAAGGCACACATTGTAAAGCTAGTAAGCTCTTGCCAAAATACTCCAACAGAAGGAAATGTCACACTGAATTCAGCACCCCTTAAATTCCACGTCCCGGCAGGCTGCTTGGAGCAGCAGTCCATGGCTTTCAAAAAAAACTGGCAAACTAACGAGCTTTGAATCAATATATTGATTAATTCAGGGGAAATATACTTTTTCTGTGTTTTCTGTCTATTTCTGTCTAAATTCCATTAAACGTAAAAGTAGCAGGACAGATACTGTCCCATGCTATTACGAAAATTAAAGCGGTTCTACCTGGTCCTATTCTTTTCATACATTTCTGAGCCAAAAATAATATAGAGGCAGGTTTTGTCATACCTGAAAGTACTGCGGTCAGCATTTTATGGATTCACAGAATTCGTTACTCACTTGGCACAATGCAGCTTTTTAAAACTAGATCTCCAAACAGTCCTGGGTAATTATCTTTTTCCTTAGAAGCAAACGATTATGTTGGGCAATGAGCTTTAGGGAGTTGCAAAGTCCCAAAACCATTGGGCAATCTTTCCTGAATCTTCCTCTGGGTTATGAAAAAAAATGAAACAGAAACATGATTGTTTTAAGAACTAGTTAAAGAAGAAACTGCAACAGCACGCAGAGCTTTCTACCTCTGCGTTGCCAGTTTTAAATAAGATTGCATCAGTAAAGGCAGGAATTACTGTTGTGAACTATTGTGTATTTAACTGGCTGTGTTAACTGAGCCAGCAGCTTCTATTCGATAATAAAAACGCAGCTGGCAAAATCATTTTAGAAAAATTAGTAAAAATTAAAAGAAAAGCTGAGAATGGTCTGGGAAGGGAACTATTATGTCTCCCTCAGATAGTGTTCTTCGAGCCTGAGAGCTCTGTCACACGAAAAGAAGGGAGAAGCTTACAACATTGCTAACTGTGCCATTCTCCTGTCTGAAGGATGAAAACTTCATTAATGCCCAAACCTTGACTTTAATGGGAACACAAAGTCAGGTTCCGCATCTGGACAACTTTCTTCCTCACTGATTTCTGGGTCTCTGGCTTTCTGGAAACAATCACTACGGTTGCCTTCCCTCCTCCACCTCCCCCTCCTCCTTCCCCCCCCTTTTTTTTTTTTTTTTTTTAACTATGAGCAGGCTTTGATGTCCCTGTAGAGTAGGGTAGGGAGAGGACGATGTGCAAGTCAGATGAAGAATGCAATACATTTGCCATAGTCCCAGTTGCTCACCCTGAGCCTGAGTTTAGCTCTCCTTGAGCACCGAGCCATTTTCAACCTTGACTTTCTACTGCCAAGGCTTACATTTATTAAACACTGCTCATACCGTTTTCAGAGTTGAATATGAGTTCAAAATGCTCTGCAAACTGTCACACAAAGGGTATTCAGAACTACAGGGTCAGTGACTGCATTCCCCCCTCTTCCTATTTAGTTGCTTTTCTTTCTTATTTCACCATTCACAGGGGATATATACAGGAAAGAAAGACTGGGGAGGCCAGGAACTGAACAAGGGAAGAGAGGGAGTTGAGAACAAGAGCAAGACAGAAGAGAGAGTTGGTGGAAAGAAGGGAATGTTGGCTTAATTGGATGTAGTCCATATTTTTACAGTTATTTTCTGCTAATGAATTTTATTTATACATACATATACACACACAGACATATAGTCATATAAATGTGCGTGTAAAAAGTTAACGGCAATTAAAACTGAGACAAACAGATAATGATTTTACCTTCCATCTCAGTTAATTGCTTCCTTATGCATTAAACACACTCAACCCAGGCATCGCATATGTGTGCACTTGTTGACAAAGTCCCAACTGTCAGCAGAGAATTGATACACCCCCATGACCGCAGCCAAAATGGTTACAGCTGCCAACTATAACATACTTGTGTGCAGCCAGTGCCAAATTCCAAGCTGACATGCATCCCGTATGACTGCAGCGCAGGCAGCGGGGCTGCGTGGTATATCCAGCGAGCAGTGCTGCGAGGGTGGTCCAGGGCTGTGCTCTGCTGCTCAGGAACAGCAACGAGGTGCTGAGAGCCAGCCAAGCTTTCGGGTACAGCTGTATCGCTCCTTCCCTGCTCCAGGAGAAACCCTGGACTATAATTGAAGAGGCTCCCAGGCGTGCACAGGGATGGTTAATTAGCGAGTAACAGTGCTTGTAGACAATACAAATCATTAGAGAAAGCTATATGTCATCCCTTCGCAATTTCGTGACAACTTTTCACATACGGTGTGATTGCAGCAGGCATTAATTCACATTGAGTTGCGTAATACTGTTTTTCCCCTCAGACATTTCTATAAACCATCGCAATCATCCACTTGCAACTTTCTGTATGACTGCTGCATGTCACAAGTTCGGACTTTCTATATTCTTTCATATTTTCAGTATCTTGCTCCACAGATGAAACATGTCTTCTCTAGGCTTTTAGGAACAGGGCAGCCACAGCTTTAAAATACAGAGCCGACAATAATTCAACACGTTCTGATTATACTTTGAGCAATGGGAAAGATATCTTTTCCTATCCAAATGACTGTGAATTGATATTTCAACGAGTTTTAGGATTGCTGTTAAAAAGTTACAGAATAACTGAATTTATAATGATTAATAGTTGTGTAAAATTTTTTACACCCCAGGAGGCATTTTTCTAACCTAAAGCACCGAGTCTCACCGACCACCTGGTTTCCTTTTATCATCGCACACAATAGGGAGCTGTTGGTGTCAGAGGCATCTCCACTTCCCCTGCAGCTGCAGCTCCCACCAGCACGGGACCTACAGCCCCTCCTTCTGCCCGGTCACCGCTGCACGGGCTTGCATGTGTTCATACCCGTTATAGCCTCCTCAGAAAGACACCTGCTCAGGCTCACCTTCACCCTGCATATTGGCTCTGAGACAACGTATTTCAAAATCCCCTCGATGTCTCTCAGCTGCCCTTAAGAAAATATGAAACCAACGGCAAACCTCTTCACACTGAAACGCGCTGCTACCTCCGTGAATACCTCTCCTGCTTCCACCCCCCATCCTCAGTATGCCAGAGAAGATACGTCGTATTGCACTGACAGCTATGCTGAAATTGTGCTACCTTTGACAGGATGTTGCCAGGAATATTGGGCAAGAAACTAGTCCATTTCATCGCAAGTATACTAAGCTCAGTATTTATCAGTATAGACTTTATCCATATGAATGACATTACTACACTACCAAACAACCAAAATCTTCATCATTTTTTGAAATCTTTTTTTTTACAACAACAAACACAATCTTTTGGCAAACAGTTTATTCAAAAGATACTTTAATTCCGAGCTGGTGGTAGCTATTAGCAAACAATGCAAACAAACCTTTCGGCAAAAACTTCAAAAATATGCAGTCTGTAAAGTGAGGAGTAAGAGAGAGAAAAACAGACTGTACATTCTATGAAGAGCTAAATAACGTAAAGAAGAGGTGCTCATAAGTTCTTTTAGCAGTTCTTTTACAAACGACTCATTTTAGCAGCA